AGACTGGGTGGTGGTGGGAGTTTAGATCGGATGGTGGTGGGAGTGTAGACTGGGTGGTGGTGGGAGTATTGATGGATGGTAGTGGGAGTATAGACCATGTTGTGGTGGGAATTTAGACCGGGTGGTGGAAGGAGTTGAGACTAAGTCATGATGAGAGTTTAGACCAGGTGGTGTTGAGAGTTTAGACCGGTTTGGCACTTTAGACCGGGTGGTGGTGGGAGTTTAGACAAGGTGGTGGTGGGAGCATAGACGGGTGGGTGGTTGGAGTCTAGACTGTGTGGTGGTGGGTTTTTAGACCAGGTGGTGGTGCAAATTTAGACTGGTGGTGGAGCGAGTTGAGACTAAGGTGTGCTGGGAGTTTAGGCCGGGTGGTTGTGGGAGTTTTTTCCAGCAGGTGGTGGGAGTTTCGACTGGGTGGTGTTGGGAGATTAGACCGGGTGGTGGTGGGAGTTTAGACCGTGTGGTCGTACGAGTTTAGAGGGGATGGTTGTGAGAGTTTAGACCGTATGGTTGTGGGTGTTTAGACCCGGTGGTGATAGGAGTTTAGAGCAAGTGGTGGTGGGAGTTTTGTCTGGATGGTGGTGGGAATTTAGACCAGGTGGTGGTGGGAGTTTAGACCGGGTGGTGGTGGGAGTTTGACCAGGTGGTGGTGAGAGGTTAGACCGTGTGGTGGTGCCCTTTTCAACCGGTGCCGTTTTCGACCGGTGCCGTTTTCAACCGGTGCCCTTTTTGACCTGTGCCCATTTCGACCGGTGCCCTTTTCGACCGGTGAACATTTTGAACGGTGCGCTTTTCGACCGGTGCGCTTTTCGACCAGTGCGCTTTTCGACCGGTGTGCTTATTGACTGGTGCCCTTCTCGATCGGTGCCCATTTCCACTGGTGCGCTCTTCGACCGGTGCGCTTTTCGACCGGTGGCCTTTATGACCGGTGCCATTTTTGACCGGTGCCGTTTTCGACCTGTGCCCTTTTCAACCGGTGCCCTTTTCGACCGGTGCCCTTTCGACCGGTGCCCTTTTCAACCGGTGCCCTTTTACATGGGTTGTTTGTGGGAGTATAAACGATTTGGTTGTGAGAGTTTAGACCGTATGGTGGTGAATGTTTAGACCAGGTGGTGGTGGGAGTTTCGTCCGGATGGTGGTGGGAATTTAGACTGGGTGGTGGTTGGATTTTTGATGGTGTGGTGGTGGGAGTTTAGACTGGGTGGTGGCAGGAGTATAAACGGGTGCTGGTTGGAGTCTAGACCAAGTGGTGGTGGGATTTTAGACTGGGTGGTGGTGGGAATTTAGACCGGTGGTAAAGGCGTTGAGACTGAGTCGTGCAGGGAGTTTTGACCGGGTGGTGTTGGTAGTTTAGACTGGGCAGTGTTGGTAGTTTAGACCGTGTGGTCGTGGGTGTTTACACGGGTTGGTTGTGGGAGTTAAGACTGTGTGGAGGTGGGAGTTTAGACCCGGTGGTGGTGGGAGTTTAGACCAGGTGGTGGTGGGAGTTTATTCCCGATGGTGGTGGGAATTTTGACCGGTAGGTGGTGGGAGTTTAGACCGGGTGATGGTGGGAGTTTAGACCGGGTGGTGGTGGTAGTTTTGACTGCGTAGTGGTGGGAGTTTAGACGAGTTGGTTTTGTGAGTTTTAACAATTTGGATTTGGGAGTTTAGACCGTATGGTGGTGGGAGTTTAGACCAGGTGGGATGGCGGTGGGTATTCAGACCGGATGGTGGTGGGATTTTAGACCGGATGGTGGTGGGAGTTTAGACCAGATGGTGGTGGGAGTTTACACCGAATGGTGGTGAGAGTTTGGACCGTGTGGTGGTGGGAGTTTAGACCGGGTGGTGGTGGGAGTTTAGACCGGATGGTGGTGGGAGTGTAGAGTGGGTGGTGGGGGGAGTATTGATGGATGGTGGTGGGATTTTAGACCATGTGGTGGTGGGAATTTAGACCGGGTGGTGGAAGGATGTGAGACATATTCATGCTGGGAGTTTAGACCAGGTGGTGTTGGGAGTTTAGACCGGTTGGTGGTGGAAGTTTGGACCGGTTTGGCAGTTTAGACCGGGTGGTGGTGGGAGTTTAGAATGGGTGGTGGTGGGAGTATAGACGGGTGGTGGTTGGAGTCTAGACCGTGTGGTGGTGGGTTAGTAGAGCAGGTGGTGGTGGAAATTGAGACCGGCGGTGGAAGGAGTTGAGACTAAGGTGTGCTGGGAATTTAGACCGGGTGGTTGTGGGAGTTTTTTCCAGTTGGTGGTGGGAGTTTCGACCGGGTGGTGTTGGGAGATTAGACCGAGTGGTAGTGGGAGTTTAGTCCGTGTGGTCGTACGAGTTTAGACAGGTTGGTCGTGAGAGTTTAGACTGTATGGTTGTGGGTGTTGAGACTCGGTGGTGATGGGAGTTGAGAGCAAGTGGTGGTGGGAGTTTTTTCCGGATGGTGGTGGGAATTTAGACCGGGTGGTGGTGGGAGTTTAGACCGGATGGTGGTGGGAGTTTTGACCGGGTGGGGGTGGGAGTTTAGACCGGGTGGTGGTGGGAGTTTAGACCCGGTGGTGGTGCGAGTTTAGACCGGGTGGTGGTGGGAGTTTAGACCGGGTGGTGGTGGGAGTTTGGACCAGGTGGGGGTGGGAGTTTAGACCGAGTGGTGGTGGGTGTTTCAATCGGATGGTGTTGGGAGTGTGGACTGGGTTGTGGTGGGAGTTTAGACCGGGTGGTGGTGGGACTTTAGACCCGGTGGTGGTGCGAGTTTAGACCGGGTGGTGGTGGGAGTTTAGACCGGGTGGTGGTGGGAGTTTGGACCAGGTGGGGGTGGGAGTTTAGACCGAGTGGTGGTGGGTGTTTCAATCGGATGGTGTTGGGAGTGTGGACTGGGTTGTGGTGGGAGTTTAGACCGGGTGGTGGTGGGAGTTTAGACCCGGTGGTGGTGCGAGTTTAGACCGGGTGGTGGTGGGAGTTTAGACCGGGTGGTGGTGGGAGTTTGGACCAGGTGGGGGTGGGAGTTTAGACCGAGTGGTGGTGGGTGTTTCAATCGGATGGTGTTGGGAGTGTGGACTGGGTTGTGGTGGGAGTATCGGCGAATGGTGGTGGGAGTTTAGACCATGTGGTGGTGGGATTTTAGACCGGGTGGTGGTGGGATTTTAGACCGGGTGGTGGTGGGAATTTAGACCGGGTGGTGGAAGGAGTTGAGACTGAGTCTTGCTAGGAGTTTAGACTAGGTGGTGTTGGGTGTTTAGACCGGTTGGTGGTGGGAGTTTAGACCGGTTTGGCCGTTTAGACCGGGTGGTTGTGGGAGTTTAGACTAGGTGGTGGTAGTAGTAAAGACGGGTGGTGCTTGATGTCTAGACTGTGTGGTGGTGGGATTTTAGACCGCGTGGTGGTGGAGGTTTAGACCGGTGGTGAAAGGATTTGACCGCGTGGTTGTGGGAGTTCTATCTAGTTGGTGGTGGGAGTTTCGACCGGCTGGTGTTGGGAGTTTAGACCGGGTGGTGATGGGAGTTTAGAGCAAGTGGGTAAACGCTTAGGATACCATAACTTCCCACACACCTGGGTTTTGCATCCGAGCACAGGCCAGCATGCTCTTGAGCCCATATACTAACCATGCATGCAAAAATCAAGATGTTTGAGCACGCTCAATAGCAAGATAACCAAGTTGAGGTCTCGTAGGAAAATGCTCAAGTACGAGAAAAAGGAACACATACAATACCATTACTTTTTGCACACTTAGGTTTTGGATCTGAGCACAAGCCACGATTATCTTGAGCCCATGCACTAACTGTTCACGCAAAACAAGGGCTTAGAAATTGCTATGTCTCTGAAAAACAAAATGAACAGTTGAGGTTTTGTTGGGCAATGCTCAAGTGTTTAGACATGGGACAATAGTTGACATACTATAACTTCCCAACCACATGGATTTTGGATCTGAGCACAAGCCATGATGCTCTTGAGGCCATACACTAGCTATGTATGCAAAGGGAAATAGTTTTAGTGAACAAGATCCTAAATGAAAAATCATGTTGTTGTTTGGTGGGGTACCACTCAAGAACTCAGACATGCGAAAACGCTTGAGATACCATAACTTCCCACACACCTGGGTTTTGCATCCGAGCACAGGCCAGCATGCTCTTGAGCCCATACACTAACCATGCGTGCAAAAATCAAGATGATTGAGCACGCTCAATAGCAAGATAACCAAGTTGAGGTCTCGTAGGAAAATGCTCAAGTACTGGAAAAAGGAACACATACAATACCATTACTTTTTGCACACTTAGGCTTTGGATCTGAGCACAAGCCACGATTATCTTGAGCCCATGCACTAACTCTTCATGCAAAACAAGGGCTTAGAAATTGCTTTGTATCTGAAAAAAAATATGAAAAGTTGAGGTTTTGTTGGGCAATGCTCAAGTGTTTAGACATGGGACAATAGTTGACATACTATAACTTCCCAACCACTTGGATTTTGGATCTGAGCACAAGCCATGATGCTTTTGAGGCCATACACTAGCTATGAATGTAAAGGAAAAGAGTTTTAGTGAACAAGATCCTAAATGAAAAATCATGTTGTTGTTTGGTGGGGTACCACTCAAGAACTCAGACATGCGAAAACGCTCGAGATACCATAACTTCCCAAACACATGGGTTTTGCATCCGAGCACAGGCCAGCATGCTCTTGAGCCCATACACTAACCACGCATGCAAAATGCAAGATGTTTGAGCACGCTCAATAGCAAGATAACCAAGTTGAGGTCTCGTAGGAAAATGCTAAAGTACTGGAAAAAGGAACACATACAATACCATTACATTTTGCACACTTAGGTTTTGGATCTGAGCACAAGCCACGACTGTCTTGAGCCCATGCACTAACTGTTCATGCAAAACAAGGGCTTAGAAAATGTTTTGTATCTGAAAAACAAAATGAAAAGTTGAGGTTTTGTTGGGCAATGCTCAAGTGTTTAGTCATGGGACAATAGTTGACATACCATAACTTCCCAACCACTTGGATTTTGGATCTGAGCACAAGCCATGATACTCTTGAGGCCATACACATGCTCTTGATGCTCTTTCACGCACTGTCAAACCATATGTGCAAGTTGAAAACATGGGATGGGAGGCAGACAGAATGTGATAGCATATGATGACATCACACAAGAATCTCCCCCTCTGGCTGCCAACCATCATCCACCATATCACATCGCAAGCATGCATACTCAATGCACACTCATCTCAGCAAGCTTCATGCCCTTCCAATGATTCTCCTCCGCCAGACGCTTAGTGAAAATATCTGCTGCCTGCTGATGGGTCTTCCCTATCTCCAGCCGCACCTCCTTATCAAGGAGTCTCCTTACCCAATGCCACTTAGGCCTTATGTGTTTTGTCAGCCCATGCAGACAAGCATTCTTGGCCAGCTTCACTGCAGACTCATTGTCACAGAAGACAACTGTCGGCTCCTCCTGACCAACTCCCAACTGCTCCAACAAGCGCCTCAGCCACACCACTTCCTTGGCCCCATGGTGTAAGGCCATGTACTCAGTCTCACATGAGAACAATCCCACCTCATTCTGCTTCTTGCTGCGCCAGCTCACAGCACCACCTCCCAGCAAGCACACATAACCCCCAATGCTGGTGCCATCCGCTTTCACTGAGTTGAAGCTAGCGTCAGTACCTTAGGCTGAGGATTTGCAGCCCAATAGCACAATGCAATCTCATCTTCCTCAATCTGCTCAACCACACTCCCAGCCTGCACCACATTCGGCTTGCCTCTTCCCCCATAGGTCAGCCTCACCGGAGGGCGCACATCCCTCCTAGATCGCTCAGGCGGGTGTGGAACTCGAGGTGGAGACTCATGCTGTTGCTGCTGCTGCTCCACTTCAGCTGCTCCCCCTTCCTCAGTCACCCCAGACATCTCCTCCTCAGACACTGCAACCTCCACCTGTCTTGAAGGCCTGCCTCCACAATGAGCGGTGTAGATGGAAGCTTCTGTTGCTGCTGCTTCCATTCCTTGTAGTACAGGGACTCCAGAAACTTCACATCCCTTGACACTGTCAACTTCTGGGTGGTCAAGTCCCATAGCAGCCACCCCTTGTGATCCTTTGCAATCCCCAAGTGCACACCCCATCTTCCAGAAGCCTCCAACTTCCCCCTTTTCTCCTTAGGCACATGAAACACCACATGGCACCCAAATGCCCTCAGCATGTTCACAGCTGGAGCACTCCCATACCACTTGGTATATGGGATCCACTCCTTATCCCCAACTGTAGCCACCACCCTGTTCTTCACAAGGGCGACCTGCCTCAGTGCAGACACCCAAAACGGATCAGGCAGCCCTGCACGCCCAAGGAGAGTGCGTGCCCCCTCCTACAGGGTCCTGTTGAACCTCTCAGCCACGCCATTCTGCTGCGCGTTGTAGGGCACTGTCAATTGATGTTGGATCCCCTTCCTCTTCAACTCCCCCTCAAAATCAGCTCCAATGAACTCCCCACCATTATCACTGCGGATCACCTTCACCTTGTGTCCGCATTCCCTCTGAGCTCTAGGCATCCACTCCTTAAGGACAGCCGCTGCCACCTCCCCTTTGCTCTTCAAAGGGTAAACCCACACTGCCCGAGTGTGGTCATCCACAATTGTCAAGAAATAGCGGTTGCCTGAGAGGGAAGGGGCTCTTGTGGGCCCCACCACATCCATGTGCACAAGTGCAAGTGGGGTCTTGGCTGGTCCTGTAGTGCTGTTGAAGGGGAACTTGGAGAACTTGGTCTCCAAGCATGTAGGGCAGCTCCCAATCTCCTTCACTCCTCCCTTGACCTCCAAGCCCTTCAGGCTCCCGTCCTTCACCAATTTCTGCAGCATAGGGAAGTTCACATGACACAGCCTCTCATGCCATGTCTCCCAATCGGCCTCTCCACCCCTTGATGAAGCCTTAGCCCATGCCGCACTCGCATCCACACCAGCAAGCACCTCACCATGTGTCTGCTGCTGCTGCACTTTCTTAACTGCTTCCAGGACCCCATCAGTTGGTGCAGTTGCATCTCCTCCTGCTGTTGCCTTTGCCGCTGTTGCCGTTGCTGCTGTTGGATTTTGCCCATTCCAAAGGATGATGGGCAGCTGCCACAGGTCCTTGATGCAGCTGGTCTCCTCTTTCAGACTCCACAGCACCTTCTTCCCAAGCTTAGCACGGCAGCTGGTTGGTCCAAAGGTCACTTCGGCCTTGCTCTTCTGCAGTCCCGCACAGAGAGAAGGTTAGCACACAAACCTTCAACCAGCAGAACATTCCCAAGCCCCACAAGCTCCCCATTAGCTCCCTTAACCTTGGCATTCCCAACACCAATCACAGGGAGCAAAACACCTGACGCTGCTGCCACATACTTAATCTTTCCAGGGGGTTTTACCTCATCAAGCATATCTGCCCGTGGGGTCATGTGACTGGTGCAACCTGAATCAATCACCCAGTGCGTGAGAGGGTGCATCACAACCTTTCCTACAGATCCCACATCACCCTCATGCCCATGCACATCCTCAACCATGAGAAACATCCCAGGATAGGTATTACCTTGTGCACCTTCACCTTGTGCACCTGAGCCTTGCACAGCGCCACCTTGTGCGCGTTCACCATTTGGCGGCTACATGCCTGGAGGTGCCCATCCCTCCGGCCTGCTGAAGCACTTGAACCAAGGATGTCCGACCTTCTTGCAGTACCTGCAGGTGCCCTCCATTCTGGTACTCACAAGGAATTGGAGGAGCAAGAGAAAGGTTGGGATGGAAGAGAGGGATGAGAGAAGAGGTCCCAAGAGAGTCCCCAACCAAGGAAACCCCATAAGCACAAAGATTCCCTCCATATAGGAACCCCATCTTTGACATTTGTCCCTTCCCAACCAATCCAACCAAGTTGGCCACCCTTGCCAACCTAGCTTGGTTGTTCCCAACCAATTTTGCAGCTGCTACAGTAGAGTGACGAATTTTCCCAACTCCCAATAGTCACAACTCCATATAGAGTCACCCCACAACTTAACTTTGTAACCGCCGCAATTGTAACACAAGCTCATGAACTTTGAATCTTCATAGCTTTCGCATTCTTGCTCCGATTGAAGCGATTCTTGTTGCGTCCGAAAGATCTTCTCAAGATCTATCATCGCAAAATACCTGCTCATTCAAAAAAAACACAAAACACATTCCCAAACTCCAGAACACACCACACACAAATTCTTTCATGCACTGTCAAATCATACGTGCAAGTTGAAAACATGGGATGGGAGGCAGACAGAATGTGATAGCATATGATGACATCACACAGCAAAGCGAACACGAAGCTAAGCGAAGCTAATCGAAGCGAAGCTAAGCGAAGCGAACACGAAGCTAAGCGAAACTAAAAGAAGCGAAGAGAAGCGAAGCGAAGCTAAGCAAAGCGAAGCGAAGCTAAGAGAAGCGAAGAGAAGCTAAGCGAAGTGAGGCGAAGCTAAGCGAAGCTAAGGGAATCGAAGTGAAGCTAAGCGAAGTTATGCGAAGCGAAGCGAAGCTAAGCGAAGCGAAGCTAATCGAAGCGAAGCTAAGCGAAGCGAAGCTAAGCGAAGCGAAGCAAAGAGAAGCAAAGAGAAGCAAAGCGAAGAGAAGCGAAGCTAAGAGAAGCAAAGCAAAGCTAAGCGCAGCTATGCAAAGCGAAGCAAAGCTAAGCGAAGCTAAGGGAAGTGAACTGAAGACAAGGGAAGCGAAGCTAAGCGAAGCGAAGTGAAGCGAAGAGAAGCAAAGAGAAGCGAAGCGAAGCTAAGTGAAGCTAAGTGAAGCTAAGCGAAGCGAAGAGAAGCATAGAGAAGCGAAGCGAAGCTAAGAGAATCAAAGCGAAGCTAAGCGCAGGTATGCGAAGCGAAGCGAAGCTAAGTGAAGCTAAGCGAAGCGAAGCGAAGCTAAGGGAAGCGAGCCGAAGCTAAGGGAAGCGAAGCGGAGCTAAGCGAAGCTAAGCGAAGCGAAGCAAAGTAAAGTGAAACGAAGCAAAGCTAAGCGAAGCGAAGCGAAGCTAAGCGAAGCTAAGAGAAGCAAAGCGAAGCTAAGAGAAGCTAAGCAAAGCTAAGCGAAGCTAAGCGAAGCGAAGCGAAGCTAAGCGAAGCGAAGGGAAGCTTAGCAAAGCGAAACGAAGGTAAGCAAAGCAAAGCGAAGCTAAGCAAAGCGAAGCGAAGGTAAGCGAAGCAAAGCGAAGCTAAGCAAAGCGAAGCGAAGCGAAGCGAAGCGAGGCTAAGCGAAGCGAACAGGAAGCTAAGCGAAGCGAAGCAAACAGGAAGCTAGGCGAAGCTAAGCGAAGCGATGCGAAGCGAAGCGAAGCTAAGGGAAGCTAAAGGAAGCGAAGCGAAGCTAAGGGAAGCGAAGCCAAGCGAAGCGAAGCGAAGCGAAGCGAAGCGAAGCGAAGCGAAGCGAAGCGAAGCGAAGCGAAGCGAAGCAAAGCGAAGCGAGGCTAAGCGAAGCGAAGCGAAGCTAAGGGAAGCAAAGAGAGGCTAAGCGAAGCAAAGCGAAGAGAATCGAAAAGAAGCGAAGCGAAGCTTAGAGAAGCGAAGCGAAGATATGCGAAGCGAAGCGAAGCTACGCGAAGCAAAGGAAAGCTAAGCGAAGCTAAACGAAGCGAATCTAAGCAGAGCTATGCGAAGCGAAGCTAAGCGAAGCTAAGCTAAGCTAAGCGAAGCAAAGCAAAGCTAAGCGAAGCTAAGCGAAGCGGAGCGAAGCTCAGCAAAGCGAAGCGAAGCTAAGCGAAGCTAAGCGAAGCTAAGCGAAGCTAAGCGAAGCGAAGCAAAGCGAAGCTAAGCTAAGCTAAGCGAAGCGAAGCGAAGAGAAGCGGAGAGAAGCAAAGCGAAGCTATGCGAAGTGAAGCGAAGCTAAGCGAAGCTATTAGAAGCAAAGCGAAGAGAAGCGAAGCGAAGCGAAGCGAAGCGAAGCTAAGCGAAACTAAGCGAAGCGAAGCGAAGCTAAGCGAAGCGAAGAGAAGCATAGAGAAGAGAAGCAAAAAGAAGCGAAGCTAAGAGAAGCAAAGCGAAGCTAAGCGCAGGTATGCGAAGCAAAGCGAAGCTAAGCGAAGCTAAGCGAAGCGAAGCGAAGCTAAGGGAAGCGAACCGAAGCTAAGGGAAGCGAACCGAAGCTAAGGGAAGCGAAGCGAAGCTAAGCGAATTGAAGCGAAGCTAAGCGAAGCGAAGTGAAGCTCGGCAAAGCTAAGCAAAGCAAAGCGAAGCTAAGCAAAGCTAAGCGAAGCAAAGTGAAGCTAAGCGAAGCGAAGCGAAGCTAAGCGAAGCGAAGCGAAGCTAAGCGAATCTAAGCAAAGCTAAGCGAAGCGAAGCTAAGCGAAGCGAAGCGAAGCTAAGCGAAGCTAAGCGAAGCTAAGCGAAGCAAAGTGAAACGAAGCAATGCTTAGCAAAGCAAAGCGAAGCAAAGCTAAGCGAAGCTAGGCGAAGCTAAGCAAAGCAAAGCGAAGCTAAGCGAAGCGAGGCTAAGCGAAGCGAACAGGAAGCTAAGCGAAGCGAAGCGAAGCTAATCGAAGCGCAACTAAGGGAAGCAAGCATGAAGCTAAGCGAAGCTAAGCGAAGCAGAGCGAAGCTAAGCGAAGCGAAGTGAAGAGAAGCTAAGCGAAGCGAACACGAAGCTAAGCGAAGCGAACACGAAGCTAAGCGAAGCTAATCGAAGCGAAGCTAAGCGAAGCAAACACGAAGCTAAGCGAAGCTAAAAGAAGCGAAGAGAAGAGAAGCGAAGCTAAGCGAAGCTAAGAGAAGCAAAGCTAAGAGAAGTAAAGCGAAGCTAAGCGAAGTGACGCGAAGCTAAGCGAAGCGAAGAGAAGCGAAGCGAAGCAACGCGAAGCTATGCGAGGCGAAGCAAAGCTTAGCGAAGCAAAGCAAATCTAAGCAAAGCTAAGCGAAGCTAAGCGAAGCTAAGAGAAGCTAAGCGAAGCGAAGCAAAGCGAAGCGAAGCTAAGCGAAGCGAAGAGAAGCATAGAGAAGCGAAGCGAAAAGAAGCGAAGAGAAGCAAAGGGAAGCTATGCGAAGTGAAGCAAAGCTAAGCGAAGCTATTAGAAGCAAAGCGAAGAGAAGCGAAGCGAAGCTATGTGAAGCGAAGCGAAGCAAAGCAAAGCTAAGCGAAGCGAAGCTAAGAGAAGCTTAGCAAAGCGAAGCGAAGCTAAGCGAAGCGAAGCGAAGCTAAGCGAAACTAAGCGAAGCGAAGCGAAGCTAAGGGAAGCGAAGAGAAGCATAGAGAAGCGAAGCAAAAAGAAGCGAAGCTAAGAGAAGCAAAGCGAAGCTAAGCGCAGGTATGCGAAGCGAAGCGAAGCTAAGCGAAGCGAAGCGAAGCTAAGGGAAGCGAACCGAAGCTAAGGGAAGCGAACCGAAGATAAGGGAAGCGAAGCGAAGCTAAGCGAAGTGAAGCGAAGCTAAGCGAAGCGAAGTGAAGCTCGGCGAAGCTAAGCAAAGCAAAGCGAAGCTAAGCAAAGCTAAGCGAAGCTAAGCGAAGCTAAGCGAAGCGAAGCGAAGCTAAGCGAATCTAAGCAAAGCTAAGCGAAGCGAAGCTAAGCGAAGCTAAGCGAAGCGAAGCGAAGCTAAGCGAAGCTAAGCGAAGCTAAGCGAAGCAAAGTGAAACGAAGCAATGCTTAGCAAAACGAAGCAATGCTTAGCAAAGCGAAGCGAAGCAAAGCTAAGCGAAGCTATGCGAAGCAAAGCAAAGCGAAGCGAAGCTAAGCGAAGCGAGGCTAAGCAAAGCGAACAGGAAGCTAAGCGAAGCGAAGCGAAGCTAATCGAAGCGCAACTAAGCGAAGCAAGCATGAAGCTAAGCGAAGCTAAGCGAAGCAGAGCGAAGCTAAGCGAAGCGAAGTGAAGAGAAGCTAAGCGAAGCGAACACGAAGCTAAGCGAAGCTAATCGAAGCGAAGCTAAGCGAAGCAAACACGAAGCTAAGCGAAGCTAAAAGAAGCGAAGAGAAGAGAAGCGAAGCTAAGCGAAGCTAAGACAAGCGAAGCTAAGAGAAGCAAAGCGAAGCTATGCGAAGTGAAGTGAAGCTAAGCGAAGCTAAGCGAAGCGAAGCGAAGAGAAGCAAAGCGAAGCTATGCGAAGGTAAGCGAAGTGAAGCTAAGCGAAGCTATGGGAAGCGAACTGAAGCTAAGGTAAGCGAACCGAAGCGAAGCGAAGCTAAGCGAAGCGAAGCGAAGCTAAGCAAAGTGAAGCTAGGCGAAGCTAAGCGAAGCAAAGCGAAGCTAAGCGAATCTAAGCGAACCTAAGCGAAGCGAAGCTAAGCGAAGCGAAGCGAAGCTAAGCGAAGCAAAGTGAAACGAAGCAAAGCTTAGCAAAGAGAAGCGAAGCAAAGCTAAGCGAAGCTAGGCGAAGCTAAGCAAAGCGAAGCGAAGCTAAGAGAAGCTAAGCAAAGTAAAGCGAAGCTAAGCGAAGCTAAGCGAAGCGAGGCTAAGCGAAGCGAACAGGAAGCTAAGCTAAGCGAAGCGAAGCTAATCGAAGCGAAGCTAAGCGAAGCGAACATGAAGCTAAGCAAAGCTAAGCGAAGCGAAGTGAAGAGAAGCTAAGCGAAGCGATCACGAAGCTAAGTGAAGCTAAGCGAAGCGAAGCGAAGCTAAGCGAAGCGAAGAGAAGCATAGAGGAGCGAAGCGAAAAGAAGCAAAGCATAGAGAAGCAAAGTGAAGCTAAGCGCAGGTATGGGAAGCGAAGATAAGCTAAGAGAAGCTAAGCGAAGCTATGGGAAGCGAACCCAAGCTAAGGG